AGTCAAAGCAAGGCTTTGGACATGTTTTTTATGAGAGTATAACATTATAACATGATGTAAAACTAAAAAAAGTTGATTTTACATGATATTGCCCTTTTTATATAAAAATAACATGATGAATTATTTTTATTTAAAGCTTTAAGTAGGTTTTACAGATCAAGATAAGTTTTAATCCTGCTGCCGTTGGATTAGTTTGACCTACGGGCAGCAGGAGGGTAATTAGAGCAGAAATGGCTCCATTGGTTGTAAAAGTTGCAGACCCCTGAGCTAGCTACCTGCATTAGCCTAGCCTGGATGAAGCCTTTTACCCTTTTCTTCATTGTCCGTGCTCGATTTAACGATGATGAATTAACTGAACAGTATTTGACAGATCAACACGTCAGAGATAATTAGACCATCAGGAGCTGAACAGGATGTATAACGGGACATCACACATGTGCAAACAAGCTGTTCACTCCTCAAACAGCACGCTGTTTGCTCACTAAATCAAACAGTACTTCTCTGTGTGTGTGGAGGAATTAAAACAATAAGAGCTCCGCCCACCTTGGCTGTGTGGACAGTCCTCCAGGTGGAACAGGACCATCAGGGGCTTGTTCCTGAAGCACAAACCATCTCACTCACTGTCCATTCCAAAGACTCCGTCTTAAAATAACAACTTGACTGGTTCTTACCTTGACCTGGACCAGTACAGAGCCTCTTCATAAGTCTGAGCCCAGATCAACTGGTCACCCCAACCTGGACAGGTGTGGACAACAGTCAGTGAGTCTGTCAATCATCAGTCAGTGTTGTTAGATCAGGACAAACCTCTGGACAGGGTCTGTGGGATTCTCTTGCCAGACTTTGGGATGTATTTGGCGAAGGACGTGGCCAACAGGACCAGAAGAACTGAAAACACGGGCCTGAGCATTCTGTGGGCTGACTGGAACCTGAGACGAACAGCAAAACACAGCTTGGATCATTTAGGGCTTGTGCTGTGGAAATAACATTATTTAAAATAAATTCTTAACATTGCATCTACGTTCTCTACTTCAAAGCCATTTTTGTTTGTCAAAAAGTCTAAAGTAACTGATGAAGGAGTGATATGATATGAATACAGCCGGCCTTTATTTAGATTTATATTACAGTCTGTTTGAACGTATTATTTCTGTACTGGGGTCACAGTTTTGTCCAGACAACCACAGAAAATAACATCTCTTCAGGTGTTTTATCATGAGGACCACTTTGATTTAAAGGAATAAAGGATTATTACTGTCAATAGTTACTTTATCATTTTTAAAATCAATTTTCTGGCTTATAAAACCACTCTTTCACACAACATACATATTAAAGAGTGTTATATTAGCTGATATTAACTGACCTCAACCCCCCCAACCACTAAGGCCCATTCAAACATGGCCGCATCGATGTTTGATTTAAAAAGTAAAAAGAAATCCAAACATAAAGCAGTTTTTTATGACATCCACAACAGAATAATCAGGCTTGATGTATCAAACTGACAGTTGTGTCAAAAAAATGTTCCTTCTGAATAAAAACAAACAATGCAAACATTAAGGAAAATAACGTCTTCTATTTAAAGTCTTCGCTTTTCATCGTTGACTTACTGCAAAGATAAAAAAATGAAAAGATGGTAGAAATTTTAGTTTTTCATGCCTGAAGACTTATTTCAAAAAGATACATTTTCATTTATTTGTAGTTATTTTGTTAGGTGGAGATAAAAGAAGAGCCACATCTGGTCCCGGGGGCTCATTTTGGCAATGTCTGTATA